GTTTAAGAAAAGAAATATTGAAAAAAAAAATTGTGGAAGTCTCTCAAAGTCTCGTGATTAATGAGAGACAAAATTTAAAATATTATATGAGTATTTTTTGCTTAAAAGTTAGTACTTCAAAAGTCTCTTAAAAGTTAATACACAAGACTTATAAAGACTTTTAAAAAGTTTTAATTGAATATACCGTAACTTTTAGAGATTTTTTAAAAGTTTATAAAAGTATTAATTAAATACATCGTGACTTTAGAGAGTCTCAAAAAATTTTAATTGAATTCACATAAACTTTTTAAATTTCAAAAAATCATTAAAAGTCTCAATTAAATACACCTGATAATGTGATTGTGGATGGTTTGCATTTTGTTTCGAGTAGCATTAGATAGTTTCCAACTCAAAACTTTATAAAGCAAATTGAAAATTATACAGCCCATAAATTATTTTTCTTGCATAAATTTCAATTTTAAGCTCTAACATAACACTTGAACTGTAGAAGAAGTTGCCAAATATTTTTAGGAAATAATATGAATGAAATTCGTTAGAATTAATTTAGTTTTTGGAGTAGAAAAACGAGGCCGGGCAAAGACTGGACCCAAATTGCATTGGACGTGAATAGGTCGTACAAGGCTCCACCCAACAAGTAGTGGGTCAACCGAATGGACTTTGAGTGGCTCTAGCCTAAATGGAAATTCTATACATAGCAGGCCAAAGACTGGACTCAAAATTGCATTGGACATCATTTTTGAGCCATCACATGGACCAACAACAAATAAAAAACTCAACATTTCCACAAAAAACGCGTAAAAAAAAACGTAAAAAGGCCTTTTTTTATTTTAATATTATTTTAATTTTTAATCAATAGAAAAATCGTTTAATAATTAAAAATAATACCTTATAAACATCTAAAACAAGTTTACAGGATATTTATATATTTTTCCAAAATTTTCAACAAAAAGATAAATTCCAAATGTAAATATTAAATAGTAAATAAATAGGAATTTTTGGGAGATTTCATTTGTTCAAGATTTCAAGTGACTATTTTGAATTTAGAACCGATGAAATGAAGAAATCAACATTTAAGTTTTAATTTAAAAGAATTGTGAAATAATAATAATAATAAATTAAAAAAGATAATTATGCGCTCATATGCGCGCATTAGCGGTCAACAACAATCGTTGACTACTAAATAAAATGTCAAGACACTTGATTTGGCGTTTTCGCCATGCATTAGCGGCGCCTAAACAGTGCCTATTAGATTGTTTTCAAAAGACTATATTTTTCAAAAACAACTTTTACAATTTAGAAAGCATCTATAGTGCGTAAAATTTTTTAAATGCTTTAAGGGGCACTATATATTTAATACTAAATTTTATTACTTTCAAAAAATATTTATTATTTTTCCCCCTTTTTATTTTCACTGACTTTTCTCCAAATTATTATATTATTTTTCTACATTGAAAATTGTAATACTTTGAATGTATTTAATAATAGAGAGTGAGTTTGGCTTTCTTAAACTCAAATCCCTATTTTAAAATACTAATTTAAATAGTCTCTTATAGTATAATTTTAAGGGTTAACTCATTAAAATAAAAATCTTTTAAAAGATGCTCTTATACAATGTCAGATATTTTTGGTGGGATTGGAGAAAGGGTAAAGAAAGTAAATAGTTAATATATCTTGATTAACTTTCATGTTAATTCAAACAAATTCTAGTGGTGGGAAAAATAATCAGAACTAGTTATGTTTAAATTTTGAACATTTTGGTTCTTAGAACAAAAAACGTGTCGATTCTAGTTTGATCCAATTCTAATATCCAAAATCGAGGAACTAATCATTCAAATATCCGTAAATTTCGAGTTTACCTATTTGAATACTACGTAGACTATAATCTATAAAATTTATCGAAGATGTTCTTAATTAAGCTATGAATCCAGGATAATTGTGATTATATTATACATGGGTGACACAATTACTCGAGACATTGAAGTCATCCAGTTGTTTTTCAAGTGAAAATTTTTCTTAGGCGTTAGATATACTATAAAATTTAAACATGGTCTATGTGTGGACACGAATGCATAGGAAGTAGCCAAATATCCCACAATTTCTGCAAAAAGAATGTAGGAAAGTCCTAATCTCATGTTTTCATTGACTTTTGACTTTTCACAAATTGACACGATCTTAGAAGTGCTAGCTAGCTATATCCACATAGTGCTACAAATTGCCGTTTTCGAATATAAATATTCACTTTTAAGACCAAATTACTTACTTTTAATACATGATTAAACACTTCTTTTTTGTGTTTTGTCTTCTTGTCTTATGGCTTATTTTTGTTTGATTAAGGTTAATTTCACGTGTTAATTTTCGTGTTTTTAGCAAAGGGGATGTCGGGGAATTGTTGCGTCAAACTAAAATGGCTATATGTTGTGCAAAAGTTTTATTTACTAGGTGGGTGTGGAGGGTAGACATTTGGTCAAATTTTGCTTCTTTATTTGAGGAATTAGTTTACCAAATTTAGAATTCACATCATCTTTTAATAATGTGACTAATCGCTTAATTCGAAATAATTGAGTTCAAAAGATAAACTCAACTTCACTCTGCCAACTTAGTCGAAAAATGAATGGTGGAAATCTTGAGTTTTTGAAATCAAATACTTAATATTCTTGTATTTTTTAGTTTGAGATCTAAATCGAGAAATGGTAAATCTAGGGGGACGGGACGGATCTAGGATTGAATTCAAGATCAAACTACAAATTTTCAAGTTGGGTTAATACATGAAAAAAAAAAAATTACACACAAAAAACTATTTTTCAAAAAAAAAAATTGAAAAATACATTAAAAAAAGTAAATTTCTTGGGCCTTGGGGGGGGAGGGGGACTACAGCCCAGTCCCCCCATATCCGCCTCTGATGGGGGGGAAAATTTGAGTACTTGTCGACTAGTCATTGGGCTCACCGTTTTAACTTTTAAAGTGACCAATTAAACAAAACAAGATTTGGCTCCTCTAGATTTGATCTGTTCGACCCACTAGAAATAGCTTCGTCTCTCAAAAATGTAAGGAAATAAATTGAATATTAGACATAGCTGAAAATGAATAATTCCAATAGATACTTCTATATCTTCGTAATTTGTTTTATTTGAAACGTGAAGATCTTTTGACTCAAACTGCCCATACTACATTTAGGGTTCCCATGATCGAGTATCGTCACACCCCATGTCAAATCTTTTCACATGACCAACAAGCTCAACATAAGTCAACACATGGAGTTTTCCTACTCTAACAGGGCATTTGACAAGCCCAAGTGATAAGGTTCGAGACCCGTTTCCATAGCAAAACTCCAACACACAATACTTTCTGTTGGAAGAATTTTGTAAATAGTGACGCCGAAATAAGTATAATGATGGTGACAAAGTCGAGCCAAGAGTTG